TCTCTCTCTCTTTCTTTCTTTCCTTGATTTTATTTATTTAGAGAGCGCACGAGTGGGGGGAGGGGCGGAGAGAGGGGGAGAAGGAGATCCCAAGCAGACTCCATGCCAAGTACATGAAGCCCGACACGGGCTCAATCTCACAACCCTGAGATCACAACCTGAGCCGAAATCAAGAGTCAGGCAGTTAACCGCCTGAGCCACCCAGGCGCCTGACATCTGGTTTTTTCTCATAGCTCTTCCTTTGGGAGAGTTGTTACATAGTTGGGATGAGGATCATAGGGTGCGTCTTTTCCTCTGTCATCCTGATTCACAGAGTGAACTTTAATCTCCTTGAAACAGAAGATATTATAAAACTATAAATAAATCATAGTTATCATTTCTTACTAATTCAGTAGAATGCCTTGCCAAGATTCTCTGATGTATTTCTTCTGGATATTTAGGATATGGCCTAGAGCCAGGACCTGGAATCAGAAGAGGCTCTAAGCAGAAAAGCTGCCACAAAATCAGGTCAGAGCAGGGTGGGAGGCCTAGCAGATGCCAGGGCAGTGATGATCAAGGGTACACGTGGCAGCGTGGGCAAGGCTTAGTAGTCACACAAGACCTCATACCTTGGCTACTGGAGGCTATTTCAGAAATAATAGTAATTGTTTTTGCCAATGACCTTGGGCAATCAGGAAAAGATTGGATACTTTTGGTGTATTCTATATAAGAAATTATATCATTTTAGAAATATTTGCACCAATAATAATAGAAGAAGCCATTGCTAAATAGTGAGCTTTAATAGACGAGGAAAATTCACTTTTGCCAAACAGCTTGATTTTCTAATTAAATGAAGTATCAGTGCAGCAACAGGGTAGTCTGAAGTGAATAGTTGGTGATAGTAATTGTTTAATTACTATAGCAGAGGCATGGATAAGTTAAAGTGGCAAGTAATCCCAAACCTACTTCATTTTGGTTTTGGGTGAGTATTTAACGCCTGCTGGAAGCCACATCTCCTTCCGGTGTGATTGCATTTCCCTGATTATGGCTGCAGAAAAGCTTTAGGAAGAAAATCATTCATTCCTTGGTCTCTCCATTCTTCCATTTCTTCCTTTCTTTTTTAGAGATGGGGGAGGGGCAAAGGGGGAGAGAGAGAGAGAGAGAGAGCGAGAATCCCAAGCCGACTCTGCACTGAGCGCAGAGCCTGACGCTCGATCTCACAAACCTGAGATCATGACCTGAGCTGAAATCAAGATTTGGACACTTAACCAACTGCCCCACCCAGGCGCCCCTTCATTCTTCCATTTCTATTTCCCTTCCTCTTTTATTCACTTTTTGGGTTTTTTTAGATTTTTATTTATTTTATTGGTCAGAAAGAGACAGCACAAGCAGGGGGAAGCAAGCAGAGCGAGAAGCAGGCTCCCCACTGAGCCGGGAGCCTGACACGGGACTCCATCCCAGGACCCTGGGATCATGACCTGAGCCAAAGGCAGATGCTTAACCGACTGAGCCACCCAGGCATCCCCACTTTTTGTGTTTGTTTAGCTATGGTTTTTGCTCCTTTGAACACAGTGAGTGTTTGGATTTACTGAAGCGTTTACCTTTTTATCTGCTCATTTTCCCCTTATCTCTCAGACCTTCCTTTTGGGATAATTTTCTTCAAGGTTATCCTGTAGAAGTTTGTTTGTTTCTTTCTTTCTTTTTCTTCTTTCCTTCCTTTCTTTTTTTAAGGGAGAGAGAGAGAGCTTGAGAACCATTTGGAGGGTGGTGCAGAGGGACAGGGAGAGAGAGAATCTTAACCAGGCTCCACACCCAGCATGTCTCCATGCCCCATTATGTGGCTCCATCTCACGACCTTGAGATCATGACCTGAGCCAAAATCAAGAGTCAGTCACTCAACCAAGCGAGCCACCCAGAAGCCCCTAGAAGTTTATTTCTTGAGGGCTCATTAAACTTATTGTCATTGTTATTGTTTGGAAAGTGTCTGTATTTTACTCTTGATCTTGAAAGATACTTTCACTGGATATAAAACTCTAACTTGGCAATTAATCGTCATTCTCAAGACAGTATTCCATTGTCTTCTGGCTTCCCTTGTTGCTGTTATCTGTCAGTCTAAATGTTGCTTCCTTATAGTAATCGAACTTTCTGTAGCTCCTTCTAAGATCTTCACTTTGAGTTTGTGGTTCTAAAGATTCACTATGATGAGACTAGGTGTTCTCTCTGTATTTCCAGCTTGGGATTCAGAGAGATAGCTGGAAATGAGGATTGGTATTTTCTTTGAATTTTTAAATTCTCTTTGAAAATCGTCTTTACCTTGTTTGTTCTTCTCCTCCTCCCCCCTTTCCTCCTCCTTTCCCTTCTCATCTTCCTCATCGTGCTCCTTCTTTCTTGCTGGAATTTGATCAGCTGTATTCTCTACTTTTTATGCTATCCTACATGTCTGGTAATCTCTCTCTTATATATATATATATATATATAATTTTAAAGACTTTATTTATTTATTTGAGAGGGAGTGAGAGGGTACAAGCAGGGGGAGGAGCAGAGGCAGAGGGAGAAGCAGACTCACCCACTGAGCAGGGAGCCCAATGCAGGGCTCGATCCCAGGACCTTGGGATCATGACCTGAGCCAAAGGCAGACGCTTAATGACTGAGCCACCCAGGCACCTCTCTCCTTTATAGTTAACATAATTGTCGTCCCTCTGGATTCATTCTGCACAGTTTCCTTAGGTCTCTTTTACAGTCCCCTTTTTTCTTTATTTAGTTTTGTTTCATCTGTTTAACTTGCCCCTTAGGTCTTTTTTTCTTAACCTTTTTTTGTGAAATAAAACATATCAAGAAAAGTGCCTGAAACAAAAATAGCTAAATGATTTATCTGAACAGAACAGCTGTGTAACTAGAAACTAGGTCAGGAAATAGAAGATTGCTAGTACCCCAGGAGCTCCCCTTATGACCCCTTATAATCGTTACCCCCAAGAGTTATCATTATCTTGATTTCATAGTATTCACATTCTTGTTTTTCTTTATACTTTTATTACTCAAGCATGTATCCCTAAGCACTATAATTTGGATATTCCTGCTTTTTAAATTTAATATATATGAAAAGGTCAAGTATGTATTCTTTTGTATCTGTCTTTTGCCCAACATTATGTTAGTGAGATTTGCCTATGGTGTGTGTGACTGTGATTCTTTGCCATATAGTAACCTATTGTATAAAAATATCACAATTTATTCATCTATTCTAATATTGATGGATATTTGGGTTTTGTGATTGGGAGCACTTACAAAGACTGTTGCAGTGAACATATGCGCTCATTATTACTGGGCATATGTATCTATGAGTGGAGTCCTGGATCGTGGAATTGTGTATATGTTTAACTTATATGGATAATGCCAAGCTGTTTGCCAAGGTGGTTTTCACTAATGTATCCTCCAATCAGTATTGTATGAGTGTAACCCGTTGTTCCAGTTGTTTTCAGAAGTGGTTCTACTGATTTACCAAGACTATATGAAAATTATCTTTGTCGTATATCTTGTCAACATTTGGTATTGTCAGATTTTTATTTATTTTGAATTTTACTTATTTTTTAGTACTGCCAGATTTTTACATATTAACCATTCCCATGGGTGTGTAGTAATATTTCATTATGGTTTTAATTTTCACATTCCTGATTACTAGTGAGGTTAAGCATCTTTTTAAAAAGATTTTTTTTAGGGGCGCCTGGGTGGCTGAGTCATTAAGTGTCTGCCTTCAGCTCCGGTCATGGTCCCAGGGTCCTGGGATTGAGCCCTGCATCAGGCTCCCTGCTCAGCGAGAAGCCTACTTCTTCCGCTCCCTCACTCCCCCGCTTGTGTTCCTTCTCTCGCTGTGTCTCTGTCAAATAAATAAATAAAAATCTTTAAAAAAAATAAATAAAAAGTTTTTTTAATCCAAAATATTTACTTAATTATGCCATCTTGCATTTTATTTATTTTTTTTAAAGACTTTTAATTTATTTGAGAGAGAGAATGAGAAAGAGAGAGCACGAGAGGGGGGAGGGTCAGAGGGAGAAGCAGGCTCCCCGCTGAGCAGGGAGCCCGATGTGGGACTCGATCCCCGGACTCCAGGATCATGACCTGAGCCGAAGGCAGTTGCTTAACCAACTGAGCCACCCAGGCGCCCCAAAGATACATTTCTTATAAATCACAACAGATTGGGGTGCCTGGGTGGCTCTGTCGTTAGGCGTCTGCCTTCAGCTCAGGCCATGATCCCGGGGTCCTGGGATCAAGCCCCACGTCAA